CTCTTTCGCGAAAATACCCAAAATCCACACCCATACCCAAACAACAGCCACCTCCGTCACCTTGCCAAAAGAAATTGAAATGACTTGACAACCTGAAGGAAGCAGCAAGAACAGCATATTGAATCCAAACAAATGATTGCAAATGGGGCCAGTTTTAATGAACCTGAGATAAATACCTGGTTTGTTGTAGTGGTTATTTTTCCCTTTTTACTAACATTATAAAAAATGTTCACCATAAAAAATACAAGATTACTGAGCGGCCCTAAATGAGTAAACTTTTTGCGCACCAAAAGCAATAAAAATGCCATGTGATATTTTGCTCAACATATACAATAAGTAACCAAAATGTGAAATTTCTTGTCACATGCTGCTGCATAGGTTAAGTAAAGCTATGGGTGTGAGTGATTGATTTGTGCATATTCTGTTTCTTGAAAATTGAATTGATGGTTGCTTATCTTGGTGGACATTTTTTTCAATACAAGTACCCCTAATCCACGTTTGCCATTTGGGCTACAAATTTGTGTATGGCTACAAGTTACATACTATCATCTAAGTGGAAAGAAAAATGTTTTGTACCATGAAGGTGGTGGTTGTTTGGGCAGGGGTTGGGTGGGGTGCATCAGAGAAGAAGATTGATCTTATTTTGTTTTGTTACTTTTCTTCTTTATTCTTGTTTTTCATTTAATATTCTGTTTATATAAAGACAAGGGCAAAACTGTCTCTTTCAGTAAAAGTTTAGCATGTTAATTAAATATGTGGGTAAAATTGTCCACTAGAGACTTATGTACGACCAAAATAAAAGGTTGGGGAGGATAATGCTGCATTTTGAAGATTGACCAAAGTCCATCTAATGTCAAAGATTGACGACTTCTGCTGCTATTTTTGCAAAATACAAATCCCAACCAGCTAAAGAAGGGAAATGGAATGGAGAAAATCATATTGGGCATTTGTATTGCTGTTGTACTAATTTTGGACAGCTTTACCAAATTCAAAAAGGTGAAATTAATTTTGTGGAGTCGCATTTTGGACAGCTTTACCAAATTCAAAAGGGTGAAATTAATTCTGTGGAGTTGCATTTTATTTTGCATCGATGAATTGAGGCCATCAAACAGCACGTGAACCTCAGGAATGCTCGACGTCACTGTTAGCTTTGAGTGGCCTACCAGAACTTGTGTACAGTATTTAACTTTTCAAGCTTGTCCAAGTTTTTAGTTTTGCATCAAAAAATGTAGTGTCAAGGGCATATTTGTGAAGCCATTGATTAGTTATATTGAAATTCTTATGCACTAGCAATCAATACAAACTTGATCTTATAATATCAGTCGGTCTAATTAAATTAAGGATTTGAATCAAAGCTTTCCTATGGTAATAAATGCAGCAAGGATCACGTTTGTTGGCTGATTATGAAGTGACTTGGGATAAGGACAGCTTCTTTAAAAACTTTAGAAGCCAACCTGCTGAAAGGAGTAGATGGGTGCCAGCAAGACTGGGAAACTATAGTTCTGAAGATTCTAGGCGTACATCACAGAATTCTTGGTTTAACCCTGATGATGCCCGACGAAAGAGGTTCAAGGTTTGTAAATGCATCTTCAACAGAATTCCATATGTGGAAAAGTACTTGACGATCTTTGTTTAGCATATATTACGTAGCTTTCTGAATTCGTGAAAGATCAAGTGCGTAGTTGTTCCCAATTGGCTTCGTTGTCTTTTTATAAAAACTAATTTCAGAGGAAATAACTTCTTTGAATGATTGTCTATTTCTATTCTTCCAGAGAATTAGGGAAACAGGAAGATGAACATATTATTTCTCATAGTTATTGTGAATTGCAGGAATGAGAAATTGATTGATCTGTAAAGATTCCATGGTTGAGCTCATTGACATGGATGATTTTATGGCAGAGTAAAAGGTTAGTTGTTTATGATTGTTGTTTGGCCCCATTTGCTGTGCAAGTTGTGTGTATGTTTAAATAGGATGATCTTAATTGTTCAAGTGGATTAAAGGTTTTAACCAATCCCTCATCGAGCTTGCATGGTGTACTGTGCATAGCTCAAGCAATGATGGAAAGGATTATTCAGTTCTTTCTGTCTTCATGAAATTATTTTGTGGGTTATGGTCTTCCCATAACAAGACTATATACAATCATAAACAGAATGGTGAATGCAATATCCAGTGTTAATTTGGACAAGGATGTAGAGTTACCTTATTGATTATTTAAACTATATCTGGATTTAAGCTGCAGTCGAACTAAGAATGTGATGTTTTATTTATGCTTTGCTTTTTATCAAGCTTTAAAATTGAGTTATAGATAATGTAGTTCATATCATGCTGATCCTAAATGAGTTTTGATTAAATTATATATGATTGTTGAGCTCATTTGATGGATTTTATTTTATTTTATTTTATTTTATTTATTTTTATTTTTTAATTTTTAGTTTTAATTTTTTTTAATATAGACCTGATATGGCGATTGACTCTGAAATATGTTTTTTCCTTAGGGTCACTGATCCCTAATTAACTTCAAATAGCTTTATTTAAAATTAAAAAGTTATTATTTAATCAATTCCATGCCATTCAAACCTTGCCTATGAGGGTCTCTCAGGGAGAGCTAATGTCATTTGTAATTATATTATCTAACATAACATATGTGAAAATTACAGTATTCTGTCGTAGTTTCTAAGGGCATTTTCTTACTATATGAATTTTGTACATCATGGTAATGTCTTCTTGCCTGTGGAGTTTTGAGCTTAACTAATAGTGTTGGTAAGTTTTAACTACTGATTTGCTTAATACAAAATTTTCTAGGAATGCCCCAAATTAAATAATCCAGCAGCTGCCCAAATTAAATGATTACACCCAAGGGCCAAACAGTGAAAATACCCAAATTAAAGAAACCAGCAGATGCCCAAATTAAATAATAACACCCAACGTCCAAACAAACCGTCCACCAAATACCATTCACCAACGCTGAAGACGCTGAGAGGCTTTGACCGAGGCAACCGATGGCAAGACCGACTAAGATTTCGGGAGAAAGACAACCAACGGCAGATCCCGACCAAGGTTTCAAGAGAAAAAGAAAAACTCGCCGGAATCGGAAAGAAGCAGAAGAAGGCTGGAATACGCACCGTAACTGGAAGACGTCGAAGAAGTCCTGGAACGCACACGTCAAATACACCAACGACCACCCCCAACACCGAAACAGGAAGATCCGAGCGAAGAAAAAAAAGAACCCACAGCAGGGAAGAACGCGAGAAGAGAATCACAGCCGGTAAGAACAATCGAAACCACGCTCTGATACCATGTCAAAAAGGGATGAATAATTGAGAGAAATTTCTGTAAAACGTGTGTTCGTATTGTCTCTATTGCATACATATATACATTACAATCATTGAATATACAAGGAAAGTTAATAAACATAATTGCTAAAAATCTGCTTTCTTCCCAAATATAAATTTAACTATATATGGTAACATCCCCCCTCAAATTGATGCAAGGAGATCAACCAGCATCAATTTGCCAACAAGCAATTGATGTCGCAGTCGAGTTATTGCTTTGGTGAAGACATCTGCCACCTGAACATCAGATGAAATGCAGGGAAGGGAAATCACTTGATCCGTCAAAGAATCACGAAAAGTGACAATCGACCTCAATGTGTTTGGTGCGTTAATTAAAGACGGGATTGCCTGCAATTTGAATAGCACTAGTGTTGTCAGCATGGAGAGGAGTAGGATGAGTCTGAGGAAACCCCAGCTCCACTAGAAGACCATGTAACCAAATAATCTCAGAACAAGCTGTAGACATAGCACGATACTCAGCCTCAGTAGATGATTTAGAGACGCGATCTTGTTTCTTACATTTTCAAGAGATTAATGCATCACCCAAAAACATACACCAACCCGTAGTAGAACGATGCATATCCGGACACTCAACCCAATCAGCATCACTGTAGGTAGAAAGCTGAAGAGACGACCCTTTAGGAAAAAATAACCCACGAGTGGATGATCCACGAATATAGCGAATAATACGATGAACGGCCGCAAGATGAAGATGCCGAGGTGAAGACATAAATTGGCTGACCTGATGAACGGCATAAGAGATATCTGGGCGAGTGTTAGTCAAATAGATGAGACTCCCAACGAGGCGATGATATAGTGTAGGATCGTCTAGAAGATCCCCTTCATCTTTCCGATACTTTACATTAACTTCCATAGGAGTATCCACAGAAGAAGACTTCTCCAACTCAGCTAACGCAATAAGATCCTGAATATACTTATGCTGGTTTAAGAAAATACCATTGGGTTGATGATGAACTTCGAGTCCTAAGAAGTATGTGAGTCGGACGAGATCTTTTATGTGAAAAGTTGCGTGTAATAACTTTTGAAGCTTTGAAATAAATCCACAGTCAGTGCTAGTAATAATGATATCATCCACATAAACCAAGAGAAGTACAATACCAGAGGTAGACTTGTGGAAGAAGAGGGAAGAATCATACTGACTCTGTGCAAAACTACGAAACTTCTCAAACCAAGCCCAAGGAGGCTGCTTAAGTCCATACAAAGAACATTGGAGTCTACAAACATCACGAGGAGATGAGGTAGTCATACCAGAAAGGAGCCTCATATAAATCTCTTCGTGAAGATCGCCGTGAAGAAAGGCATTCTTCACATCCAACTGATGTAGATTCCATGACTGCGAGGGAGGAATAGCTAGGATCGTCCTGACTGTGGTCATTTTGGCGACAGGAGCAAACGTCTCCTCATAGTCAACCCCATATTCCTGTCTGTTATCCAGAGCTACAAGACGAGCTTTGTACCGATCCAATGAGCTGTCAGAACGAAGTTTCACAGAGAAAACCCATTTGCTTCTAATAGGTTTCACAGCAGGAGGACAAGGCACAATGTCCTAAGTGTGATTCTCCTCAAGCGCCTGAAGTTCTGCTTGCATTGCCTTTTGTCAACACTCATGTTCCATGGCCTGTTTGTAACAAGTGGAAATGGAAATAGCAGATAAAGTAGCTACAAGAGAAACAGGAGATGAAAAACCGTACCAATCGGGTGGGCGAGAATGACGAGTAGACCGACGAAGATAGATGGGAATCGTAGGAGGACCTGGTGCCGGTTTGAGATCAGGAGGGGGCACATCAGCAGGAGGATCAGACCCACGATTACGTCGTTCATACACAAGTCCTGACTTAAATCGTGCTATAACATCTGGGGAATTAGAGAAGGTAGGCAAGATAGATAAAGATGTAGGAGGTAGCTCAGAATGAGACGGAAAAAAATATTAATTTTCAAAGAAAACCACATTCCTAGAAATGCGGATATGCTGAGCATGAGAATCATAGCAAATATAACCTTTTTGAGAGACAGCATAACCAAAGAAAGCACATTTAACAGACTGAGTAGTAAGTTTATGTCGCTCATGAGCAGGAAGATGAACAAAACAAACACAACCAAATGTACGCAGATCATAATAGGAAGGTGAATATCCAAACAGTTTAAAGAATGGAGAAACATGATTTAAAATAGGAGATGGTAAACGATTAATTAAATGAACCGAAGTGGAAAGTGCTTCACACCAAAATTGAGAAGGTACCGATGATTCAAGTAAGAGTGTTCTTACCTTATCCAGGAGGTGACAATTCTTTATTTCAGCAACACCGTTTTGCTGTGGTGTCGAAGGACAAGAATGCTGAGAAATGATATCCTTACTTTGGAGAAAGTTTTGAAACTCATTAGACATATATTCTCCCCCACAATCAGATCACAAGATCTTAATGAGGCTAGAAAATTGAGTCTCAACAAGGGCAAAGAAACACTTAAAGACTGAAAAGACTTCTGATTTGGCTCTATAACAGAAAAGAAACGCTTAAAGACTGAAAAGACTTCTGATTCGGCTCTTAAAAAATAAACCCAAGTAAAACGATTGAAGTCATCAATAAATGTAACAAAGTACTTATAACGTGCATGAGAAATAATAGGTGAAATCTCCCAAACATCACTATGAATAATATCAAAACATTGTGAGGCACGAGATCCAGGAGAGGGAAAAGGTAGAGTTTTACTTTTGCCAAGTTTGCATGCAGTGCAATCAAAAGAAAGTTCAGACGAACAAGGTTTATTACCCAATAGCGAACTACATTTGAGTTTGGGTGGCCTAAACGTTTGTGCCACAATTTATTATCAGTACTAATGGTATTACATGCAAATGAAAGTAAAGGAGAACTAGGAAAAGGAAAACTATGCAAGGGAAAGAGTCGTCCCACTTTAGGCCCCTTCGCGATCATCTTCTCCGATACCGGATCCTGCACAACACAACCAGAACGAGAGAAATGAACATTATAATTACTATCAACTAATTGACCAACCGAAATTAAATTTGTAGAAAGATTGGGAGACATAAAAACATTAGTTAAAGAATCTGAAAGATCACCAATAGCTTTGATAGGTAGTGAACTGCCATTAGCAGTATGAATTTTTAGATTCCCATCGTATTCTTTCACATTGGAAAGAGGAATAACGGTGTTGGTCATATGATTAGAAGCTCCAGAGTCGAAGAACCATGGTTTAGACGAAGTTTTATGAGTACCTGATAGTCCAAAAGCAGAGAAAGCAGAATTGATCATCTTTTGTACCATTTGAGGGGTGAGGGTGGATGCAGAAGCAGGATTTGGAACAACGT